CGCCCACATCAGCACCTCGAGAGGGTAAGAGAAGCACAGACCTGCGAGCCTTTCCTATGGAAACCATCCCCGCTTCCTGGGATGAGCAGGGGTTTTTGTTCTTGAGAACTGTATCTACATCAATGCTAGCAGTGTTAAATAACCTCTGGCAACCTTCACTTCCACGGATTTGCAGAGTCCTGCCGTTGAGTATGTGTTTCCTTCCCTACAGGATCCTGTACTTTAGAATTTAAACGCACGCTTTCAATAAAAAATATTAAAAAAAAAAAAACAAAAAACAAAAAAACAACAAACAACTTCTTATGCCTGGTATTGTTCAATCAGAACTGCTCTATTTTCTGTTGCAAGAAATGGAGATCTGTCCTTCTCGAGTCACCTTTTGTGTACTACTCCAGTTACTAACACGTCTCCTTCTGGAATCTCATCCGCATGCTTGGGGGTGTTTGGTGTCTTCTCCTATGGAAACAACTTCATATCCTTGATTATCTTTCTACCTTTCTCTACATCTTCAGTAGTTTGGAGGCTGCGTATCATCTTTTTTGGAGACGAGGGGAACTTGAACTGAATGCCATGTTCCAGACGAGGGTTCATCACAGATTTTAGTCAGTGGTTTATCATGCCATTCCACCATGCTGTTTGGCTGTCTATTTCCCTCCTAATAATTTCTGGTGTTTGTCATCGAAAAGCTTCCCACTGTGCCTCCAAGATGTTTTTTCCATTTGATGATAGCCAATTTAGAGAATATCCTTGTGTTCATAGCTAAGGATGTGCCATCTGCAGTACTTTGCAATTATTCACACCAAATCCAACCTTCATTTTATCATCATCTGCTAACTTAGAAATGTGAGAACCTTCTGTATTTCTTCACAGTTAGCTGTAGGTTGGACTGCCCTCAATAACTGTTTATCATCTACAAATGTTATCAGCTCATTATTAACTCCCTTTTCCACATCACCCGAAAATACATTGTACATCATTGGCTGCATTCTGAGACCTTTGGTACACCTTCTCAGAAATTTCAGTAACCATCCTTCTTCAAGAAAACAGACAATTTTTTCTTACTTTTATTTTTTAGCCAGTAACTAACTCGCAGGATTCTTCCCCTTCTCACATGCTAACCTAGTTTCTTTCAGAACATTTGCCCAATCTATCCACAGCGCTCCCTCAGTACCCAATTAACTCCTGGCCCTTGCTGAGGTGGGATTCCTGATTCTGATGTGCTTAGAAAAAAATGTCCCCAATTGTTCTGGCCACGGTACGGCTCTATATCTAACCCTGCCAGATTCTGCACTCTCTTCAATTTTCCTTCTTCAGGTTTCACTTCTACAATTTAAAGACTATGTTTTTAGCTCCTGAGAATCTCATTTACTCCTGTTTAGCAATGCTAGCTTTTTCCCAGGTGTGGGAGTAGAGGTACACCCTTTTTAAAATTGATTTAGATTCACTCTGAGACCCCACTGCACATCTAAACATGCCTCAAGACTCCCTGATACCTTCAAGCATTTTAGCCTCCACCTGCTCCTTTTACCTTCCCTTTTTTTGCTTACTTCCTAATGCTTATGATTTGTCCCTTTCAAATGGAAAAACACTGCACTGGATTTTCTGTACGGCATCTCTTCAGTAAACCAGAACTCGCCTCTTTCCTCCCTGGGAAGACCAGAGCCTGCACCACCACTCCTTCTGTTTGTACTCAGCCCCGGAAAGTTACAGCAATTGCAGTGCAAAATCCTGCTCCTGAAGACTTAAAAACATGATGTACATTAATGGTGAAGATATCTGTATCTAATTCTGTACAAAACTGAGAACAGAATAAAGTATGAGCCTAAATACACACAGCCCAGATGCACCATCACAGATCTTACTCACAGAGCATAACAACACTAGAAAATTAGCAGAGAAAAATCAGCATTAGTTTTAAGAAAAAATGAATGCTGAGTTATCCTTTACCCTTTAGAAACAAAAACTAGGAAAGGTTTTTTTTTTTTAAATCAGGGTAGAGAAATTAATCACATTTAAATTATTGAGCCCTAGCTCTAATTTTCCTGAAGCATTCCAATTTTTCTTTTTTTTTTTTTTTAAATCACTGTGTTATGCATTTCTGTTCTTATTTTCTGTCATATGATATCTCCGGTGAATATGGAAACATCCATTTCCTCTCATCTGTACTTATGTGCTAAGGTATCACAGCTAAAAATATACCAATTTACTCATTTGTGAGGTTTTTGTAAAGAAAATAGCTCCTTCAAGTGCTATACAATCAAAGTTTAAAAGTTTGTGCCACTGACATCAAAGGGCAGTGTGTAGGCTTCTCTGGACAATAGTTTTGACAGAAAGGTGCAGTAAACATGATAAAAACAAGTATCTTATGCTAAAGGTTTTTATCTTTCTTTTTAGTTTCTTTTCAACGAAACAAAGAGATATAGCTCAAATATTTGAGTTGACAGGAATACTAGCACTGTCAAGTCCACATAGCTGAGGAACAGTGATTTAATTAATTTTCCTTGTCAGCTAAATTCAGCTTGACCAGTTTGCACCTCTTGATTCTCAGATTTTAAGCAGAGATTTCGTATTGGCTTTAGAAGAAGAAAGGAAAAGCTTTGTGAGGAGAGATGTTTGTTAGGGAGTCAATTAAAGAAAATCAGCTGACCTGCAGAACTGAAATGAAACCATTCCTCCAGAGCCTTTCTCCAGAGCACAGCTTAACTGGGCTTGAATTGGTTTCGGTCAGGATTCAAACATGTAGAGTCAGAAGCTCATCTGGGGCAAAACAGTACCAGCTCCAGAACCAGTCTTACAGATCAATAAATGAAGTGGAAAAATGGAAAAGCTAAAGATAAATTATTTATAGTTTTGTCAGTCAGTTTTAGGACGAGTTTTGCTTTGTCTTGTTTTTTTTTTTTTTTTTTTTTTTTTTGGTTGTTGTTGTTGTTTTTTGGTTTTTGTTTTGTTTTGTTTTTTAAAAAATGCTGCTTGAAAGTAAATTTTAAAAACCTGCAAGTGGTTTTAAGTGTTTTAAGACTGTTCCGATTTTTGTAAATGTTGTTGTTTAAATAATTTTGTCCAAGTTTTGTGGAGAAATTCCTGCATTTAGCTGTGAATAAACAGCACTGAACTCTTGATTAAGTTAGTACCTCCAGTTCAGTCCCTTCTCTTAGCTGGTCCCCCCTGCTTTTTCCAAAAGTAGCATACTAGCTGGAATCCAAAATATCACTTGGGGAACACAGCAACAGAGACAAGACAAATTTTGCCCTGAAGGAGATTTTAGAGAAATTAGGAGAATTGTATCAGGAAGGAACTTGGCTCAGCCTACACAGAGGCACTACACATCTTGTTCAGCAGAGTTTTTTTATATTGCCTGTACGATATAACATTTTATCTGCTCTCTTCAGATTCCCATTTGTATTTAGCCCCACTGCTTCTGGCTCCTGCAGGAGGCCACGCAGAGCTTGGGGGGCTGGGGGCGGCACTTTGGCGACGCTGGAAAGTTCAGCAAGACAGAGCTGTAAAAAAAGGAAGATCTAAAATGCAAAATAAGCAGGGTATATAAGTCAACAGCCTCCCCTCCTTAGAAAATAAAATTTTTACTCAATGAGGGGTGGGAAAGTGGGGAGGCAGAAATGTCAGTGAACAGATATTTTTTGGACTGCGCCCTTTACAAACATTAGCAATCTCCTAATATGCCAAAAACTGTTCATCGAGATAAAACAATGCAAATAGCTAAGCCAGTCACAAGAACAGCTATTCATGCAGGCCTCAGTCCACGGAGATGACATAAAAAATTGGCTCTCTGTACATTTAAAAAAAAAAAAAAAGCCTTTTTTTTCCCTGTTCTCTCACCTGCTTTGAAACAAATTTTAGATATTCTTTTAGCAATGTCCTGAAAGAAATAAGATGAACAAACCTGTGCCTTCTAAGATACAAAAGAGTATAATTGTAACAGAAATAACAGCTAATCTAATGGGAGATATGACTCTAGAGTTTTTTTGAATTTTTTAAGGCTATCCTGTAACACTTGTTTTTGCAAAGCAGCATTTTATAAATTTTTAATCCACCCTCCTGCAATCCATATTCCAATGTCAGTTAGACTGGATCTATAGGGACCCAGGGACAAGAATCATTTTATTATGGTAATAAAGGATAAGAGGAACACATTCTTGTGAATTAGTTCCCTTTGAAAACTTGTATCTATGAAAAGAGAAAACCATCATGTTTTTAAAGACGGCGGAGCTCTAAAAATATCCATTTCATATCCAAGGCTGAGTTTAACTGCAGGGTCTTTATATTTTCCTACACATTTATCCATAAAACCATACAAAAATATTTTCTAACACACAACAGAATACGCCCGGCCTCTATATTCACTTATTCCACCTTGCTTTTTTAAAATGGCTGCACCCTAAAAAATAAGGCCACTTTAAGTGACAAAGCAAGATGCAAATTAAAAAGACTGATTTTATTTAATGTTGTTTTTTTTTTTTTTTTTTTTTTTTCTTTTTTTCTCGATCACCGCTAGCGGTACTCTAGCTTGCACAGTGTACCGAGTTTGCTCTTGCCCTCTTGCTGCCCTCCCCGGAGCTGGGGCCCCCCGCCCGGAGCTCGAGGCAGGCAGTACGCGGGCGTCAGGACCGCAACGCGCCGCGTTTCCCCGCTTACCTCCCCTCGATGTCCTGCAGCGCATCGCCCCTCGCGCCGGCTCCTCCTCGGCGCTGCCGAAACGCCCTCCGGGGTCTTACCCGAGCATCGGCCTCCGGCACCCCGGGTCGGGGCACTCCGCTCTCCCCACACCGCGTCCCTCTCCTCTCACGGCAAGCAGCCCCCCAAAATGGGCTCCCAGTCACCAGCTCTTCACCTCGCCCCCCAGGGAGCGAAGGTCCCTTCGGGGCCCCTCCACTCCCAGACCTCTCACAGCCCACGTGGACATCGCTCCTCTCTTCGACCTCACTGATCAAACCGAGCATGCTCTGGCACCGGCCAGGTTTCCGATCAATAAACTACTCTGGTTTACATGGTTCAAATTTAAGCTTTTATTTGGTTTTTAAATTAAAAAAATAAATTTCGTTATTAAATAGTGGAATGGGTCTAAACTAACGTTTACATATTAATTCACTTGCTTTAGGATACCACCAGAGAAATAATTGAAGTATAACCACCCGGACCAAACTTTCTGTCAGAAAGCTCAACAGTGGCGTAATTCAGTTAAACAGGAAAAAAAAAAAAAAACAAAAAACCCAAGAGTCTTAATGTCTACAACGAGCGTTAGAAGTAAACCTCTGGTTTTAGAGTCATCCAGATCTCGTTTCCATCCCAAAGGCAGCCATTGTATTCAGAATACTATACCACAGTGCTAATGTCATCGGCTTCGTCCGGTTTCTTTTGCCTGCTCGGCAGGGATTTCAAGTACTCCAGGTGCCTCCTCGCATCCTCCTGATTTTGCCGGACGTAATAAACCACGTAGGAGATCACCATGGTGAACCAGCCAAACATGGTGACCAGCATGGCGTAATCGGTAGTCTTTTTAGGCAGGTTGCAGAGGTCAGCATCGTTGGCAGCGTTGAGGAACGGTCTCCCCGCGTGTTCATCCAGCACAGAAGTCTTGCAGATGACGTTGTTGGCCGTCTCGTGGTTGGAGGCCATGCTCCTCAACACCTGCTGCAGCGTGCAGTCACAGTGCCAGGGGTTGTTTGCAATTCTGGCTCTGGCCTTCAAGTTGTTGAAAGCATTTTTGTGCACGCTTTGAATCCGGTTGTCAGACAAATCCAGAGTCTGCAAGGTTTCTGCCACCCCTTTAAAGGCATGTTCGTCTATAAACTCAATCCCGTTTTTTGATAAGTTGAGGACCCTCAGTTGGTGCAAGTCCTTAAAAATTTCGTTAGGGATAGAAGTTATCTGATTGGAGTCCAAGTAAAGTAAGACTGTTTCTGGAGGCAGATCTCTGGGTATTTCCTTGAGGTTTGCATTGCTACAGCTGACGTTGAGACCTCCGGAGTGAGAACAGAGGCAGCCTTTTGGGCACATACTGGCAGAATGAAAGCACAGTATCATGAGGACAAAACTTTGTAAGAGCAGACACATGGAGAGGGAACGAGTTAACCACAGGTCTACCAAATGCATGCTGGGGTGTCAGCATAATCACGCGACCATTTCTCATTCAGCCAACAGTGGTGGAAAAAGGATCGGCGAAGCTGAGGCGCCGCTTCATTTTCTTGGGTGGGATCAGTAAAAACTGACTAATAGGTGGGCTTCCTCATGGTCAGTACTCTTCTTAGAAGCACACCTACGGAGAGGAAGGAGAAAAAGTTCCTTATACCATAAACGCCAATCCCAGATCTGTTTTCATGAAAAAGATAGAAATAAAATCAAGTCAAAGTGAAACGCAACACTAAATAAATGAGCTATTATACTATCAGTGCACCAGAGAATTTATTTAGATAGCTCCTATTAGCATTAATCTGAGTTTAGTATATAAATCCCTAGGACATTTTTAAGAGGATAGAGTACACTTATTACAAATCGCACAGGTTTGGGCTTCAATACTTATTAGAGGCGGCACTGGTTTGTTTTTATCACAGACTTTCCTAAAACAGCTATAAAACTAAATTACATTTTCCCTTGCTAAAGTAGAAGATGCGTTAATAGCAGCTAAGAGTTGGATCTCCAGCAACAGTGACAGGTAAGTGAGGAATCTGTGGTGGTTAATGCGAACTTATCTCAAAATAATTTCTGCTATTTTAAATCCAGATTAAAGGACTTCAGCAAGGAAATATTTTTACTGTACCAAGAAAAAAAAAAATAAGTAAACCAAATGCTGCTGCAAGACACCAGAAACATCCACCATCTCCTCCTCTTCTGCTTTTGAACACTGGATTTCCTGTACCTCTCAGCATTTGGTGAGACCCACAGAAATAATTTCTACTTTCAGTTTTCTTGAAAATTTTCTTTTCATTTAACATAGTGAAAAAGAAAGAAAGGTAGCAATTGCCAAAAACTCACACACCCCGCGCCTCCAAAACAAATAAAACTCATATAAACCCATGTACAAGCCAAACAGAAAAAGTCTTATTCATGGCATGTAATTTGCTAATAGAACATATGAAAAATATTGTTTCTGCTTCTCCCCTCTCAAGTTGGCTTAAAAATAGTAAATATCCGGAAGCTTTTCCATTTTCTCCTTTAATTGGAGCACAAATACAGAAGTCTGAAATGCTGACCTATAAGGTTTCAAAGACAACCTAATTTATTTTTTCCCCTATTATGGTACACTATGAATTTCTAACCACAACAGGTCCATTTGTTTTCATGCACATGCCTTCTGTCTTTGTAGCAGCTTGGATATTTGCAGTCTTCAGGTTGTATTTACATATAAATGGATTTTTTTTTTTTTTTTTTTCCCAAACCCACACTGTAGTCCAGTGAACAATAAAATCCCCACAGGGAGGATACATGTGATTTTATAGGAAAAGAAGAAAATGCATTGTAATCATTTTTGCCTGCAGAACTCACATACTAACTGCAGTTTCTGGCACATGGCAGTAATATGGATCACATGTGTTAGGTAGTATTTCAAACCCATAGCTCAAATTTTATTTAACCCTTTTTATGAGGCTAGTATGACACGGGAGAAAAAGCAACCCAAACCCATCTTACATTATGTTTGATTATTGTGGCTCGGGAATGGCTCAACACACCGGCACTGCAACTCCTGCAGAGGGTATTGTTATCAAACATTGCTTTACAACTTATTTATTGATCAAGAGAGAGATTGCCCAAGAACCTGAAAAGAAAGTTTACGCTTGGACTCCGTAAAACTTCTACTCTAAAATTAAAAAAAAAGGAAATTGTTAGCAATGAGAAATTGTGACGTTAACCTTGGAAATGTGAAACCATTAAGAAGGGAACTAAGCAGAGACAAAAAAACTCCTTTTGAGGCTACAGAGGCAAGGTAGCACCTCCACAACCGATGGAGTCCTGCAGCACCTCTGCGGAAGAAACGAGTTCCATGAAAGAAGCCCATTGCACTGGGTGCATCCCTGCCATTTCTCCCGCTGGCTCTTCGGTCACTGCCACGCCAGGACTTCAGAGCAGACAGAAACCTGCTACAGAAGAAGGATACGAGCTCCAGAAGTTGGTTTTTTGTTTTTTGTTTGTTTTTTTTTTTTTTTTTCCTAGCCTGCCCAAAAGTGCTAAGCACTTGCTAGAATGTGCAGCCCATTCGGAGGCCGAGCTGGAGCTGGCAACCTGCTCTTCCCTCCGGCAGCCCTGGCTGCTGCAGCAGAAGGCCCATCCCCTCGAAAAACAGGCACCTATTTTATTTTCCCTTCATGTTTACGTGTCTCACCACTGCGCCGCACCAAAAGAGTAGATAAGTGGTCCAGCTCATCACCACAGAACGAGCATCTTCTCATCACCCGCTACCGGTATTCAGTGGCTTCCCACCAACCGTACCGGAGTCCTACCGCAGGAACGGCCTGGGGTCAAAGAGCAAAGACTCACCAGAGCGTGACAATTAAATATCGTATTTTCTTCACTGCAGGCTCAACACCTAAGCATAAAAAAAAAGGTAGCCAAACTGGAATTACACCATGGGCCCTAGCCGAGTCCTCCATAGCGAGGCTACGCCGCCAAAGATCATGTGTCAGGGACCCCAGGCTCCAAGGACAATGTGGAACATTTTCATCCGACCAAAGATAAATGAAGATCTTGGTCCTTAATATATTCATGTGTTTAGAGTAGAAGTAGGATCATTACAGACTAAGCAGGAAAGTGTTTAATGAAGCAATAATAATGCCTCTTCAAAAGAGATAACTAAGTAAATGGATAAAGAGGCAGAAAATCTCCCACGGTCTAAGATGTTAGAAAGAGCAAATACAGGTTTAAACCCGTAATTAACAACCCAGTCAACAAAACTTAGCTGAGCAGGAAAAAAAGCTCAGCAAATTCTCAGTAAATTAACTGGAAGCAACCCAGCGGGATCAAGCAGGAGGCAGGGGAAACAGAGCTTTGTTTAATTCCATAATCAGAATATCTGATCCAAAGGATATCTGAGGTTTGGGTTTCACCAGCAAACTTACAGAGAGGACCTTTGTGACTCACAGGCATCCTAGTGACTGCAACAGGAGAAGAGAACTAGGATCCACACATTTGTAATGCTAAAAGGAAGATTTTTGGCTTCTTGAGCATCTAATTTTCTCTGCTTGGAACATAAAAAAAAATAAAGAAGCAGGCAACAAAGTTGGAATAAAGACAAGAGACATATACCAGACAGAAACACTAAAGACTACAGAGAAAGGGATGAAAGACACAGAATTAAAAAAAAAAAAAAAAAAATTAGATATCTGCAAATAATGAAAAAAAGAAAAGAATAAATTAAAATGTAAATGAAGGCACAGGGAAATGACAGCAATACGACAAAGAACTGGTAACAGCATGGTATAAAAATGATTTTCCTGTACATTTCTAAAATACAAATACAAACATAGAAAACCTAACATGCGAGTCAAGTATTGCAGGGTAATAAAACTATAGAGGGAAGATCGCACAACAGAATTCTTTACAGTCTTGCAATTTAAATTGGTTTTCAAGCTTTCCTCTTCTCATGCTCCCCCAAGACCACTCATTCAGTACAAACATCCAGAGTAGGATGGATGTACAAATCCTGAAATCCCCAAGGAAAGCACATTTGCTTTTCATACCCAGTGAGATTTCTACTGAGCTTGAGGTGTCAGGTATTTGCAGACGTTTGCCTTTTCAGCAAGCAAGGTGCAGAGACTGTATCTCAGCACCTGAATGCAATACTACTAAACTAGGTATTTGATTAATAACTCCTCCCCACCAGAAATGAGTGATGTAAAGAAACATTAGTGCCTCCAACTACCCACCTGGAAAAAAGCGCCTGCAGGCTCAGCCTGGTCACACACAAAGTCCATGACAAGTCTACTTGCAATATTAATTTATGCTGTTGTGTCTTTGGCGCAAGATATAGGAAACTGCATTGCCATCACACAGAACAGCATAAAAGTGACACACACTGAGACTTTTTGTTGTTTAAGACAATGCTAAGACAACAATTGATGCATGAAAAAACCAATCAATCGTATATATAAAGGTGTCTGCCTTAACAAAGGAGAAAGGGAAGGGCAAGGGGAGGTAAAAGTGGTTTCCACCACGGTGTAGAGACTTTCAGAATCCACATGGCAGCTCTTCAGCTGTCACCCTAATGCTCACACCTCGCCGGCCCTCCACACCGCCTCTGCCCCCCCCCCCCCCAAAAAAAAGTGCGAACGGAGCAGCTGCCGGCCCCTTGGGCCCGAAGGCCAGCCACTGCTCTCAGGGGACTCAAAAAGCAGAGACCCAAACCAGCCTCGAGAGGTGTTCCGCCTACGGAATTTTAAACACACGTGCAAGCCCCTCGGCCGTCAGGATCAGCGTGCGTCTCTACCAGGGTGAAGTCAGCAGAGCCACTTGTTGCTAACGCTCTTCCCGCAAATTTGCATCTTCCAGGGGGGAGAGATTTCCGCCCCGCCTGCTCATCGGATGCCTTCTCCATACACCGCGTACCTAGATTGCAGTGGGGTGCTTCAAAGATTAGTTTCTAGCACTGCAAAAATGACCTGTAACAAACACCTTCGTTCAGGTTGCTCCAATATCACGGACCACTGGAATTTACTTGGAATTTCACCTGAATTCTGAGATGTTTTCAGGTGAATTCCCAAACACTTCTGTTGAGGACAGATCACAAACATCACCCTTTTCCTGACGGTTACTTATCAGGTAAGATCTCCTATGATTAAGACAAAATCATGACTCAATATATTTAATATAATATGTTTAATAATGTATTTATTTAATATAATATGTTTAATAATATATTTATTTAATACAATATGTTTAATATTGTATTTATTTAATACAATATGTTTAATATTGTATTTATTTAATATAATATGTTTAATAATATATTTATTTAATACAATATGCTTAATAATATATTTATTTAACATAGTAAGTATGTTAATATAATATGTTAATATTACATGTCTTTATGGGATGATTGCTGTCCTGAAATCACAGAAATGAGGGCCATAAATGCTGTCTGTAGGGCAGGATCATACAGGCCCACACTAACTGAAGACCCCCCCAACTCACGCCCAGCATCATCACTTGCCTTGCCTGTGGTCGAACACTGATGGGAAGAATCAGCGGCAGCTCCCTGCAGTCAGTACCACCCTGGCCTTCACTGAATCAGACTGTAAGGACTCTTCAGTGACAAGAGACGCG